GCAAAATTCTAAGCTATCATACCCGTGGGTTCTCTTTTTCGAGTACTGGATACCAAATGGTGTCATCTTTACTATGGTAAAGAAAATATGTAATCACTCTGGCTCCTGCAGTTGAACTGTCACCAGAGCCTTGGACGGCAGACTTTCGAACGACAGTTAAGCTTAAAAGATCTATCTTCAAGTACTGAAATTTATCATGAACAGAAGGCATCCACCATTTTCTTGACAACAAGCGACCCCAGTAAGGTTCATGGTCAGCGTGGAAGGTTGATGCTGTCATTGCACTGTTAGGCAATGCACTCTTGATGGCTGAACTGACACCGATCAGTCCTTCAAGGCACTCTAATTGCAAAGCCACAAAATTTCAATCAGAGCAAATATTAAACCTATGTGACAATGACCCTGTCTGCTGAGTATGGCAGAACTCGACAAGATCTTGCACATGCAAGGCCATTTTTAGGCCCTTATTACATATATATTGTTAAAAAAACTCACAAGTGTACCTGCCATACTCTGCAGACTGAACAATGACTAAAGAACATAAATAAGCCCCCCAAAATGATCAGTTTTCACTACCCTAAATATTTTACCAGCAAAGACTAGAAAAATACAAACATCATCAAGTTCGCCAGAAGAATAAAAACACTGAAGTTACCTCAACTCCAGCAAGGATTTGCAAAATATAAGCTTAAGCTTAAAGTTTTACTCCAAAATGGTGTGGTGATAGTTGTTCACGGTACTGCTAGTTATCTTAGAAAAGGCTTCATTAATAAAAAGTGCTGACGCCAATCGACGTTGTACTTATTTTAGTTAGGTGACTTTCATCTATAGCCTCACAACTTGGCTTTTTCCTCAGATTACGAAAGAGCAAGAGTGTTGTGCAAGAGTGTTGTGAAATTCAAGTAAAAGGCGAATTACTTTCGTTAAAAGAATTCGTTTGCTCCTTTCTTTAATTTGCAAAAAATAACAAACGGTATAATAATCTACAGTATATTGGGAAACTTTTCATTCAATTTGTTTCAGAACACTGAAAACTCGCTTAAGCTTAAGTGGAGTTTTAGCATAGCTCAAGTTTTACTTAAAAGGTAAAACGTTAAAACTTACTCCCGTCGTCCCTCAACAGAACATTGACCCCAAGTAGAGTATTTCTGAATTCCGACATAATGTCAAATCCATGTGCACCAAAACTAAGCAACATCAAAGATATTATAGCAATAGCAATTTCAGCCATGTTTGGCCATTTTCCAGCCATTTCCTGAACTTTTCACGATCAAAACCCCTCACGCCATTGTTGGCGCGTGAGACAGAGCTGAACCACGTCTGCGCATGTGCGAACATGGGGAGGTCTGGGGGCTAAGCTAGTATGGTTTGGAAAAGGATTTTCAAAACAACCTCACATTTTGCCGATTTTTAAGGTGGTTTCCTAACATTTAAGGCCCCCATTTAACTTGAAGGTAGATTATTTCATATTTTATTGAATTCTCGTTTCCATGTTCGCAATTTTTCTTCCGTTTTTGGCTATGAACAAAAGAAGATCCATGTACGAAATTTGTATCGAATACCTGGTAATTCCGGGGAGAATTCATATAGAACGGTTCATTCCGGTGGAAATTTTCCCGAAATAACTTTCGAGCAAGAGAGGATAAAGGGGACAGAGAAGGCATCCCCCATACACACCCTATTCCATAGGTAATTCGTCTCGAGTTATTTTTAGAATCGGGATAAAGTTACCTCGCGCGCTGCGTGGTTGTTTCGTGGAGGTTACGCATGACTAAACGCCGTGCAAAGTGTAAAACATGTCAGGCGAAAGGCAATGAAAGCGTGAAGAGATCGAGAGCATTTCTGAATATTGAAGCGAAATGAGTCGGCGCTCACCTGGGAAAAGGGATATGGCGTCAACTCCGGTCGTTTGTACAATAAAGTAAGTAGGACGCCAAGTGTTATTTTTGTGGAATAATAAAATACTAATAAAAGAATAAATATCAAACCAGAAATTGCTCTCTTCAAACTGTAAATTATCAATGATCCTGAGAGAATATTCAGTGTGTTAAGGATTTCCCTACCGTACTGTTAACTCTATACAAGAGAGGAAGGGCGATTCTTTTTAAATTTCCGTTTCGCTGACACAGCTTTAGCAGAAATCTCTCTTTAGTCGTTTTCGTCGACAAAACGAATAGCAATATCGCTCTCCACGTCTTCCGCCATTTTTTTTCAGCGTCAATTCGTGAAAGACGCGTGGCTCTGAGCGTGGGTCATCCACGCGGAACACATTCGCACTATGTGATTGGCTGTTGACGAATCCCCCTTGGGATCTGTGGTCTTAAAAATAACTCGAGACTAATTACCTATGGAATAGGGTGTGTATGGGGGATGCCTTCTCAGTCCCCTTTATCCTCTCTTGAAACAAACTCAGTATGAAGGAAAACAGGATGGTCGATGTCACAGTAAAGAAGAAGTTTAATTTGACCCAAATAGTATATATAATATATCTTGGTAATGTCTTAGTGAAACTGTAAAATTGCGTCTTGCACTTGACATAATAGCAGTTTGATAGCAACAGTGACAAGAAGTGCTTGGATTAGCCTTCCTTGTTTCAGTTCATCTTGTCCGCTGTTCATCTTAAGCGCTGCAGTCTTTACACCAGTTCTCTCTTCTTGCCTTGTTAATGCCGCATTGCACTGCTCGTCTTCTTTTGAACACTGCTCTTTTCCTGCAAAGAAGATTCAGTCCTGTCAACTGTCCACTTTTTTAACAATACCAAAACCCACTGCTCTTCACAAGATTATCAAACGTGAATTTTTTAATCGCAGACCGCGAATTCAAATCCCAGACATTCTGGTAATACGTCTTCATTTCAACAATGCAGATGAAACCTAAATACCTCATCATTTTTGCAATGTGTAAGCAACTCATGGGTACGATCTGTTACTCTACGTATTTTCCACACGCTAAGTGTGCCTGATAAACACACTATAGAGTTGACTAAGAAAAGTACTAGAGTGCAGCTGGTTCTATTTTCCCAGTGAATACACTACTGCTTTTTCCACCACTGTAAAGTTTGAAACTTCAGTTTAACCGACTGCACTCCTTAACTTGGATATTGAGTATCAAAATGCGGTCCTTTGGGGCCTGTGGGGAGGGTGCGAACACACCCCGTGCACCCCCCCTGGTTACGGGCCTGCTGAAGTGAAGGATGATTGTGTCTCTAGCTATGTCGGAGATCTCTCTGTAAACCTTGGTATCATCTGCATACAGTTTAACCGTTGATGAAATACCTGACGAGATGTCATTCACGTATAAAATGAATAAAACGGGTCCGAGGATTGTTCCTTGGGGTACTCCAGATAAAACTGGAGACCAGGACGAGCAAGTACCACGCAGGACGACGCGTTGCATCCGACCGGTTAAAAAATTACGAAACCACTGGAGAGCACTGCCGTCGATACCGTGACGCTCAAGCTTGAAAAGAAGACGCTCATGCGGTACACTGTCAAACGCCTTGGAAAAATCCAAAAAGGCGATGTCAGTTGGCTTTCTGTTGTTGCGTGATTTCGCCCAATCGTCGTAACAAGAAAGAAGCTCCGAAAGCGTTGATCGGCCCTCCATGTAAGCGAACTGGTTCGGGTTGAGGATATTTATGTCTCGCCAAAAATCCATCACTCGAGACTTAACGATTTTCTCCGCGATCTTGCACACTATTGATGTTAATGAGATCTGGCGATAATTATTCTTGTCAGTCTTACTGCCTTTTTTGAACAAAGGTGTGATGTTAGCGAGTTTCCAAAGACGTGGCAATTTGCCTGTTGAAAATGATTTGTTGAAGAAAAAACACAGAGGTGACGACAAAACACTCGCACATTCCTTCAGAATGCGAGGTGGTAAGCTGTCAGGTCCAGGCGACTTGTAGATATCTAAATTTTTTTAAAGCTTTTCTACTTCCTTTGTGTTGCAAAGAATCAGTTTGAAAGTTTACAATTGGTGACATATTCAAATTCGGGGAAGTTATCGCAGTCCTCTGATGTAAACACAGAGGAGAAAAAGTCATTCATACTTTCAACAATGCTGAGATCAATTGGGAGGGTAACGCCCCCGGGGGGGGGGGTACTGCCATATATTGGCTATATGGGTATGTGCCGCTGTGAAGGGTATGGTTTTCAAGCAGTTTACTCTAGGATAGGGTATATAAATCAGAGCATTTGGGTCTAGAATAGGGTATCATTTTTCAGGAAACTGATCAGTTGGTTGAAGATTTTATCTAGACTGGGGAAACAGCTACTCTAGGATTGGGGGATTTTGGGAGTTTACTCTACTATAGGGTACCAAAATTCAGCTGAACTAGCTCTGGTATAGGTCAAGGGTTCCAGGGTCCCAGCGGCACATCCCCACCCAGAAATTCCTAAAGTGCCCCCCCCCGGGGTAACGCCGTCAACATTAAGTGAAACGAGATTGTTAGACCCTTTACGCATAGATTTCACAAAGCTCCAAAACGACTTGGGAAATTGTTGTTAGTAAAGACACCTACTTCGCATATAAATTTGCCTAAGTACGGTTTTTTAAACAAGTCTTTCTATAACTCGTAGAAATGTGATGGTAAGACCAAAGAAAAGAAGTAGTGGTGGCGCAATCACGGCCGTTTTTGCATCTATTGCGCACATTTTCCAAGAAACGTCTTTGGAAATTTTATTGTCAAACACAGAGCCAAGAATCTTTACTCAAGGAGACAATACAAATTGTCGTCTAATTGTTTCTCGTAAACCTCTGAGAATTTTTATCAATGTAAAGAGCTTACAGCTAAGGCCCAGTTCAGACGTCGTGCTTCTGGCGTGCCGAGTTTAATTGTAATTCGGTTCGACTGTAGCACAGCAGGAAAACAACTTTGATTCAGACGTCGTGCCAGAGTCGAACCAAATTCAGGATTTACTGATGCCTCGTAACAATTCTCCTCTTAACTCCCCGTGGGAACGCAATCTCGCCAAAATACATTAATATAATTAATGAATTTGGCTTAGCGCGGCATAAGCACGACGTTTGAATCGCTGCCGTGCCAGAGCTGTGTAGCACGGCAGCGCTTGTCGAACTTAATTGCTTGCCGAACTTAATTCAAAAGTTTGATTCAGACGCCGTGCTTCCGCCGTGCTTTTGTCGAACTCAATTCCTGAATTTATTTCGGCACGGCAGAAGCACGACGTCTAAACGGGGCCCAACTTACTTGAACAGTAGAAGCCATCTCCGTAAAATCCCTTCTTACAAACACAGAGATAAGAGCCATCAGTGTTGTAGCAGTCAGCCCAGTGATGACACTCAGCGAAATTCTGCTGACACTCGTTTACATCTGTTGAATAAACAGAAAACCAAAGCTTTCTGGTTCAATAGTGGAAGTTGACAGTGCAGGGGTGATCCCACGTGAATGTGAATGTTATGTACAATTACAATTGCACAGTTCAGGACTTTCAGTTTTTACGGTATCATCGATAACTATATAAGCATCAGACTTGGCATGGTTTCAGAAACGGCTGTTTCTACTAAGTTTATGTTAGTTTCACGTTAATCCCCCCGTAAATCACGCAAAATGCAATGAATTGCTAGTTTCTCGCAAGAACAAACAACCTTCTTTGCCTCGAATTTCTAAAATAGCACTTCCGCTAAAATAATGGAGCTGGCTACTACTAAATGAATAATGGAAGTTAATATAAAATAAAAGACATACAAAATACCCAAAACAGGGAATTTCATGCAACCATAACATCTGAGAAGGTCGCTTACGATAAGTTACAGTTACAATAATTTTTACAAGAAAAATCGAGTTTCGTGTTTGGAATAGGTATTCTTTAATACGTTAAGGTTTGACTGTATTTCTTGGCGTACATGGTAAGTACCAACTGCAGTTTGACCTTACACAGTGTCTGAGAAGAATATGTTAGTAGTTACCATGACACGAATTATCCGTGAGGTGATATCCCAGTTTACACTGACAAGCATATGAACCAGGCAGGGTAACACATAGCGAATCCTGTTCACACGCTTTTAGGATTTAAGTAGTTACCGTGACATGAGTTATCGGTGAGGTGATAACCCAGTTTACACTGACAAGCATATGAACCAGGCAGGTTAACACACAGCGAATCCTGTTCACACGCTTCAGAATCTGTAGCACATTCGTCCAAGTCTGGAAATTAAAACCAACAAAAACAAACAGAACAGAACAAAAAAAAACAATTCAATGAATTAACTGTCCATCCTTATGTGCTCGGAAAGTTACAGAACCTCAGTTCTCACAAATTTTTCTTTTGGTTATACATCTATTTTTTGATCAACCATTGGATTTGAAAGGAATCCTTAGTAAGTGACCTGCCATTAAAGGAGCTGTGTCACCAAATTCATCAAAATACAAGAAGTGGGAACAGCTGCCAGCAAATTTAGTAAAACATAAAAGTTAACCGTTTTGTACATCAAAAGACGTCATCAATGATACCGCAAATACAAAAAGAGGCAAGGATGGACAAGTTTTAAACGGACGGCAATTGCAGTTAGCCTATTGGTTGTTCAAAGATCATTTTTGTTGTTTGAAATGCTTGGGAGACACATTTGTTGCACGAAGCTGAGATTTTATCATTTACGAGTAACGTTGTCTCTGACGTTAAGTTCCATAACAAATAAGGACACGTAGCATTGGCAATGTTAACAAAACATCCTAGACGGCCGTGACGCAACTGGTTTAAGTCTAAAAGTGCAACACCCGCCGTTAAATGACTGCACTCCTCTTACACTTGTTTTAAAATTGAAAGGGGGAAAACTACAGGGAAGACGTTTGTTGAAAAATTAGTGTAATACCGTGTAACCTCAATTTAGCCTCCTTCTGATTTTTCCATACTTCTGAACTAAGGCGTTATTAGAAGGGCGTCTAACTATAGGAAGTAGGTTATACCTCTTCAGTCAAAACATTGTCTCGTGTGAAACACTTAGTTAGTCTAGGTGGAAGAGGCCAAAAAATTTAAATAATGACCTAACTAGCGTATCTTCTCTTATGGCAGTCGTAGTGTATCTAGGATTTAACTTGGCCCTTTAGGTGATGTATGAAAACATTTTTCAAGTACTACCTTGACACTTTGAGCCTTTAGCTGCATATCCGTGTTTACAGAGACAAAAGTACGATCCTGCAGTGTTCACACAAATACCATTACTGCCACACTGTTTAGGTTTTACCTTGCATTCATCAATGTCTACAAGACAACGCGTAAAATCATAAAGTTAAGCAGGGTAAAGGTTATTTAGGAGGACTATCAAAAGCAGAGCATTTTTGGTCTGATAAATTCCACTTGAATGTACAGATCTTGTGAAGAAGGAACATTTATTACGCTAACATGAACAACGTATTTCTAGCGGGTAGTGGGTGGTAAAACAGGATTTAAGCGTGACTGGAGTGTAGTTTCAGCTTCTTTCCGTGGCAGTTAGGTCAGTAGTACGTTATGGCTAGTAGTTTGTAGCTTCAAGCAGTTGTAGTAAAATTATGAATGATGAAAAGGTGATAAAAGAAAAGAATCAAACAACTTGAACGGTAGTAGGCGGCAGCTTGGCCGAGTAGTCGGTGGATCTGATTTGCAATGAAATCAAGGTTCGAAGTCCCGCTCTCATCGTTAGGTAGATTTTGTCGTTGATCCTTGGTTTAACGCTTTGTTTCTCTGCCAGTTAATGAAATTATAAGCGATACTGCACTTATATAACAGTAGAAACCCGCGTGTAACAACCTTGTGGTATAAAAATTGCTGGCAACATAAGCCAAACAAGTTCAAGAGGGCTTTTATATGTGGGTTACAGTAAAATTATGATAATTTTTAAACGAAGAAGTTTTACTTTGACTGTAATTGTACTTCATGGACTTTATATAAAGGAGGTATGATATGTGCAGTTGCGTATGAATACTGTAAGTTTACGGACCAAACGTAAGTTTATGTACTTTTTTGGGAGGTCAAGAAGTATATCTCCTTCATAGAAATAAAGAAAATTCCCTCGTTACAGTAAAATTATGATAATTTTTAAATTAAGAAGTTTGACTTTGAATGTAATTGTCTTCAAGGACTTTGTATAAAGGAGGTATGAAATGTGCAGTTGCGTATGAATACTGTAAGTTTAAGGACCAAACCTAAGTTTATTTACTTTTTTGGTGGTCAAGAAGTACATCTCCTTCATAGAAATTAAGAAAATTCCCTCGTTTTGCAATGCGCATCAACTACTGCGCAAACATTGCGACTTTAAAGGTGGCGGTGATGTTCACCGATCGCCTAAAAATAGGTAACAAAAGCTCCTTTTGTAGTCCTAATGCTTTTAATAGCAGTTTTGATAACTCTACTGTTTGTCTTGAAACTCGCCCAAGTCCCTTCGCGCAAAATGATCATTTGAAGCCGAAATTTTCTCTCTGTTGTCATTTTGCGATGAAACCAGAACGGTGAACCCCTTTTTTAATTTGTGGCTTTTACTCGTTAGGAGTACCCAAAAAATTTTATCTAAAGGAGAAAGAAAATCTGGGTAGCACAAGTTGTAAATTTTCAGATATGAAGGACCGAATGCACCAGCTAGCACCTAATAAAATGTCTCCCCATTAGAGACAGACTTCTCTAGCTTTGCGGGCAAGTCTATATGAGACAGCCCTCGATACAACATTTTATGAACGTCACATACAAAAAGGCATAAGTGACACACCTACACATTGTAGTTTCCCTTCCAGTGAATACGATTCTGTGAATCCCACATTACAGAAACAAGCATATGAACCAAAAGCATTTACACAGGTGGAGTTCTCCCCACAATTATGGCTGCCGATCGTGCATTCATCAATGTCTAAATGGTGAGAAAAGAAAAAAAAATACACCTACTGCATTAGGTCTTCTTGACAAATAAGACGCACATATATACAACAAGGCAGTATAAAAGTGGGAGACACCTGTTTCTCCCGCTGTTGGTGACAGCGGTGACGTAGTCTGCACATATACAATGAAATCCCGATTTATCGAACCCCTTATGGGAAACGGTGGCGTCGAATCATACTTTCTTGTCTTCTCGGATAAGGACGTCTCGCAACCATTGCTCTTATAAAAAAATCTGTCGGCCCGTTTAAAGAACCAAAACAATGTTCGTAAAGAGAGTCTGGCCCTATCACCACGTGTAATATATGTTGTTGCTTTAACATTTTGCCAATACTAGGTTTACCTAAACATTGTTTTCCATCTGCTTTGAAGCCTGCCTCTTTACAGTCACAGATATATGAACCCACTGTGTTAATGCACTCTGTTAAGTATGGGCATACATCTCTTGGTTTGGCACATTCATCAATATCTGAAATAACATAAATATTATGCATTAATGACGCTGTATGGAGTGGGGGTAGTTTCTATCATTACTCAAAGCTTCTGTTAACTATTTCTGACATTGGATCTTTTACACCGCTAGTTGATTAAAAAACCTCAGACTGTAAACACTTACCACCCCTCAGGTTTCGATGACATTCATTACTTGGGTGCATATTAGTTATCTTTAGTTCATGAGTACCTTTACATTCGTTCCCATTTCGAGTTGTTCCTGGTTGACACTCACAGACGAATGATCCATAGTTATTTTTGCACAGTTGGTCCGGCGATCCACAAACATTGTCGCCAACGCTACATTCATCTACATCTATGGAATTGGAAGAAAAGTTTGAAAAAATGACTGAAGGCTCTTTTTACAAACATCTTGCTGACAGAGTGAAAGACTCGGGCGTAACAAGAAAACCCAAGTTCAAGAAGAAAGACGAAGTGCTTAGACGAAAAACAACAAAAACGATACAGGACGAGCTTGAAGAATTTTGAAGGCCGGTGTGGGGGACCTCGAGTGTAAAAGCTCAGCAGGAGGACATGGAGGCAGCTTTGAGACAACATGCCGTATTTCCTCGAATAATAGCCGGGGGTGATCATTTCTTTTTTTCGCACAAAAAGAGGACGATTATTCGAGGGAAGGCGATTATTTCAAATATTACTTGCTGGAAGTCGTGCCCTACATATTTTGTTTTATTTTCCCATTAAACAAAAAAATAATCACATTAAATAAACTGAACATGGGCTTTCAAAACCTTTTTTTCCAAATTTAGTACCTTGATTAATTTTCGGAGCTTGAATAGTCAATGATCAGTTTTTCTGGATCACATTGCACGCGAGAGGGGCGGGGGGGGGACGATTAATCAAGGGACGGCTGTTATTCGAGGATAATTATTCACTGACTATCAGCACTCATAAGTAGAGTTTTAGTAGTCATTTCCCTTCAAAATTGTTTCATTGTTATATTTTCTGTGAGAAAAAATACCTATTTTTCCGGAAAAATACCACTTAAATGCTCGAATAATGCTTAATGGTTTCGCCTCACTAAATTGCTCAAAAACATGCTGGCATAATGTACAAAAGCCTAAAACGCCCCTTCCAGTCTTGTGAGAGGAGGGGTTGAATGCAGGCGGATTTTCTTAGTGTCTTCTCGCCTCGACCCCCCCCCACCGTTTTCTGGTTTCACATCGGCTCAGCTTTCGCGCTGCTGTATCTTTTACTTCAGGAATTACAAAAGAAAAAACACACGAAAAAGACTGCAAGCTACGCAGGCTACTCATAGCCATACCTGCACAATGAAAGCCATCTCCTACATAACCATCATAGCACCAGCATGTTGTAATATGAGGCGAAGACATCGATCCCAACACCTTTCCATGCCATCCGCACAAATTGTCGTCTTCGCGGTACGTTACATAGTCTAGTTTCACGAAAAAGCTTAGTTTAATCGTTATTGAAGCTTTCAGAAGGCAAGTTTAAAAGGAACTTTGCGGGGGGGGCAGGAAGTCCTGACTTCTCGTTCACTTCGATTTATTACTATCGCGCTTTAGCACAAACTTTACAAGCACAAAACTAGCTGAATCTCTTTGACAAAGGCTTGGTGCAGTTCCTTTTTATCCTGACTGATACGTGCGCTCTGAGCGAGTAGAGTTTGGTTGAAATTATCTTATAATTATGTCTGGAAAAGCGAACAACTCAGAAGTTAAAGCACTGCAACATCAGAATTATTCAATGATGAAAGAACGTCAAACTTTGAGTAACGAATTCAGCCGACTTCAAGAGTCTTTAAGATCACACGAGGCTGAAGCAAGCAAACATGGCGGCCAAAGTCAACCTGGACCAGATCCCGAAACTACCAAGTCGTTACAGTTCGTTAGTCTTATTGCCGAAACTTGAACATTACGGAATCCGCGGAGTCCTTAATAACTGGTTTTCTTCTTATCTAAACAATTGATACCAAACTTCTCAGGTTGGTCCCCATGTTTCTAAGAAAGAGCGCTGTACATCATCATAAAACACGATTTTCTGCCGCTGGCAATTTCTATATTAAGCACTCGAGAACGGACCATATGAAAAACTCCTATGTGTGGATACGAGTTAAACAAACGTTGTTCCAAATGCTTCGGAAAGTTACATTCACGTGATTACCGCGGAGATATTAGATGCCCCTTAAACTCAACATCAGGGCCTAAGAGGTGTCTGAAACGTCAGCCGCCCCTTCGTCCCGCCCCCACTCATCCTTAGAGATCTGGGGCAGTCAGTTGGGTCGGAAGAAAAGACGTGCAGTCAGGAAACTTTCAGTTTGATATAAACCCGGTCCATTTCAAAATACTCTCTACCCGAAAACTAAAACATGGAAACGCAAGCAAGGGTATTTTAAAGACGCTTTTCGAAAAATACAAGCTTGAGCTTACACACGTATTCAAACTTGTTTCGATTACGCATTCCTTGCGATTGATCAGAAACAGAATTTTCTCGGTGAAATTGGAATGGTCCTCCCGATACCAACCAAAACGTTTTGCCGAGTCATCGGTAGTTCCTTCATTTCTAGTTAAGAAAGGAGAAAATTTCCCCTGCACGCGCAACCTTGGTGAACGAACCAGACAAGTATGGCTAGACAATGGCCGTCGTCTACGAACACACAAAAAAATCAAGAAATACTGTTCGCCGAATTGGCACAGAAATACAAAGAATGTTTTGTGCCCAATCAGAAGCCAGCATTCGCTTGACCTTTTAACATAACATAACATAACATAACATACATGTTTATTCAAACTCATAATGACCACATGAATTTGAAAGGGAGAGTCTAGAGGTTAACCCTATGAATAAAACTCTCCTAAAAACAACAAACAATAAAAATTACAATAAAAATTACAATAAAAATTACAACTTTAAAAAGGATTTGAGTTTACATTTAAAAAGTTCAAGGGAACCGGCTTCAACAACATTACTAGGTAAATTGTTCCAGTAACTAATTACATTGTTAAAAAAAAAAAATATTTAAAACAGTTGATTCTAGATAATTTACAATAAAAGCTTATACGAGTGATTTGCCCTAGTGGATTTGACTTTTGCGAATTGAAAGAATTCCTCAAAATCCAAGTGTGATAAGCCAAACACGATCTTATAAAATTCAACAAGAGAGGAATATGTCCTACGACTGGACAAAGATGGCCAATGTAACGAGTCACAACGCTCTTCATAAGACATATCACCTCTTTTTTTGCCTAAGAGCTAATCTTGACGCGCGTCTTTGCACGCTCTCTATTGCATGAATATCTTTGACAAGATATGGGTTCCAGACTGGAGCAGCATACTCTAGAAGTGGTCTGACCAATGTTTTGTAAAGCAATGAAAAAGTTGTTGTATTAGCTGTTCCAACAGACCGTCTTATTAGCCCTAGGACTTGGTTCGCCTTATTCACCATGGTACTAATATGTTCACTCCAAGTAAGATCTTTTGATATAATAATTCCAAGATCTTTAAAGCTCTTGACATCTTTTAAGGCCGTACCTAGTTTATAATTCGTAGTCGATTTGTCACGAGAATGCGTTATTCGCATTGCTTCACACTTTTCCTCATTGAAACGAAGTTGCCATTTTTTGCCCATTTACCAAGATTATTCAAATCAGTTTGAAGGTATTGTTCATCGAGACTAGGGTTGCGAAGCTCTCTGTAAATCTTAGTGTCATCCGCAAATAATTTAATTTTTGAAGAGACACTATCAACGATATCATTTATATATGATAGGAATAAAATTGGACCAAGAATAGTTCCCTGTGGGGTACCAGATATCACAGGTGCCCAATCAGAAAAAGTCCCTCTTACAACAACTCGTTGCTTTCTACACGTGAGGAAATGCCTCAACCAGTTAAGAAGTTTGCTCTCAATACCGAGGCTATATAACTTTATGAGTAGACGCTCATGAGGAACACTATCAAAAGCCTTTGCGAGATCAAGAAATACAACATCTGTTGCTACCGATGAATTCCTAGATTTGGCGAAGTCATGAAAAGTAGAGAGTAATTGGGTCACAGTAGACCTACCCTGCAAAAAACCAAATTGGTTTTTGTTTATCATGTTATGGTCTTGCCAAAATGACGTTAACCTATCGCGTACGATTTTTTCGCTGATTTTGCATATCATGGATGTAAGCGAAATTGGTCGATAATTCTCCCTCAAGTGTTTAGAACCTTTCTTATGAAGAATGTCAGCTGATCTCCAATCTTCGGGCAAATGGCCCAGCAGGAAAGATTTGTTAACCAGAAATGAGATCGAGGGCGCCAATTCGAACGCACATGATTTTAAAATTACTGGTGAAATTCTGTCTGGACCCGGGGACTTGTTCGTTTTAAGAGACTTAAGATGCTTTAAAATTTCCTCAGTAGTACAGGAAATATAATTAAGTTTCTCACAAACTAAAGGCTCTAAAGAAGGCAAGTTGGTGAAGTCCTCGGAGGTAAAAACAGATGAAAAATAGGAATTAAAACTACTAGCAATACTCTCATCGTCAATCAGTTCTTTGTCACCAACCTTTAAAGATACCAGAGAAATGGTCTAGTGAGAACTGGTACCGCTCTTCCGTCTGTGCTTGAAAACTTTCGTCTAGCCTGGGTAGCTGGCGGAATTGTTTTTGCGTGTGTGAAAGTTTTGGCTGCGAAGGCGCGAGAAAAAGCGTCTACTCTTCCAAAAATTTCCTTGCGCGAACGATCCCGCCGGCTACGTAGGCTAACTTTCGTCGCGCCTTTTCTCCCGACCTGGCACTCCCAGAATGACCCAACCAAGAATGTGGCCAGATTTTGTTTAAACCCCGCTCTACTTTTTAAGAACGTGCCGCTGACCACCCCCAGTATGAATACGTCTGCAGGCTTGCATTTATTCGCCCGCAATCAGGCCTACGTTCGATATATCAAAATTCTAACATCGCTCCGAGGCTTTCTGGTCATATTTCTATATTTGGTTTGTTTTCTTTGTGCTCAAGTTTCTTCTGGGAATTACGTGACAATGGACTTGTGAAACATTTTTAATTTTGTCGCCCCGGAGTCATGTTAGAATGTTGATATATCGAATGTGGGCTATTTAACAATTATTCCTCGAGCCCGAATGGGCTCTGAGTCGATAGCCCATGAGGCCGAAGGCCGAATGGGCTATTGACTCAGAGGCCATTCGGACTCCAGGAGCAATTGTTAATTAGTAAAATCCAACTAGTTGGTCAAAAATATCGAGACAAAACAACTTTAGCTAGTTAAGGCTGGACTTTTAATTCTTTTTTGCCTCCAAAAAGCCGGCGCTTTTCGCTACTAGTGGGCTATAACATATAGCCTAGTAGTAGCTCAACCAATCACAATGCAGCATTGATAATAGACCACTAGTTGGATTTTACTAATAATTATAAGACAGGTCACATTTTTGCTCTTGTTTGGTTCATTTACATTTACTGCTGAGCAAACAAGTCTCCAAATCTATCAATTAGCCTAAACACGAGAAGCAAGCTCCACACAAAGTATGGCCATGTACACTAAATTTAGAGGAATCTCTATTTAGTTTAACGGGGCTATTTATCCTCTGAACTCTCTTGATTGAACAAAGCAAAAACAGTTCTATGTTTGGTTTTGCATTTTAAGGAGGGCCGTAAGTGAGAAAACCGTACAAGGTTATTACGTCTCCATAAGTTACTGTATCGTAAACTTACTCAATGAGTGAAATCCATAAAATTCAACCCTCAGGCAACTCCTGTGATACCATGTGTCAACATGAAGGCGAACTCCTCTAGTGCGTATAGCAGAGGCAAATGGTAAATGATTTAACACCTCGACCCAAGGTGCGTCTGGGTTGCAGCCTTTGAAGACCTGTGGTATTTATTAAGTAAATATTTTTTATTTGATTATCATTGTTTAAGTTTTTAATTCATTCGATTTTTTGGAAATAAGTCACTGCCTGATCCATTTTTAATGATTTTATCACATGCTTAAGATGGCTCTGATATTAACACAGGCGCATTTAGCAACGGACGGAGCATGTAACGCCTTCTGATCAGCTTTAGTTTAGTGACGCATCACTTGATCTTTTAGATACGAAATATTTATTTTCACACGTGGAGACTGAACGGGAGACCAGGGGCGCTTTCCATTCAACCCAAATATCCGAAAACATTTCGGTTGATACATCAAATGGAACGGACCATTTCGGTTTGGTCCGACCGGTGATCCACTTTGAGCGGTCTGGTCATTTCGGTCTGTTGGGCTTTCCATTGTCCCCAGTACCGCTCTTTTGTATGCTGCTTAAAAGAACAACAACCAAACGCGTAGTGGCTTGGGCAGGGTCAGTGCAACCGAAATGTACCGTTTCACTGGGCAAGTGGAATTTTCCGAAATTTCAGACCGGAATTATTTTTGTTGAATGAAAAACTTTCGCTAAAACGCGCTCGTGTTGTGTGGAGGAACCTAACAGTCTTTGACGGTCGGCATGGTAATAGGTTTCATCGAAGTAAACATAACCTGTAGTTCGTGTTTGTTAAGTTTTTCAACAACCTTGCGATTAATACATGGACCAGCCTGCAGACTTTGCTAGGGCATGTTTACAAGGAGAGAGGGTTACCTTTGAGCAAGGGTTACCCAAGCAAGTCAGTGTTCTCCCTAGGTATTTAAGGCTAGGCGGACTGCCTGGCTTAATTCACTGGAACATTGTTGCCGCCTGTCTCTAATACTAAAGATTAAACCGAACGGAAGCTAACGTTGACTACAAAGCAAGGTATTTCAAAGGCAAAATCACCCAATAAAGTTGATGAAACGTTGTCTGGTGTATTTATTTCTATGTTTTCTCGCAAGTTATTGATTAGAAAATATGAATACGGTTCAAACCTATGATGCATTCGTTTCATTGAACGGCAGCCATCTCAAAAAACACAAGGGACATTCAAGGAGCTTATGTAGATGAAGCACTAGAGGAATCCTTGCCCTCACCAAGGAATCCTTGGGCCTATAGCTCTGGTTTACAAGCAAATTTCGCAGGTAGGGTTACCCTATCATCCGGGTCAACTCTACCAGCTTTACTGACGCGTTTCGTCACGCGTGACATTCTTTGTAACGTCCAAGATTTGAAATAAAACTTGGGGCCTGTTTACATGGAGGTGGGGGACCCCAGACAGGCGAGGTAACATGTAGCGGGTCACCCCACCTATCGTGTAAACATGATCAAATTAAAATGAAAGATTATATTGACGGGCGTGTTAACTCATCTTCGTGAGGCCCCCACCTCCATGGAAACAGGCCTTTGAAGTTCTCTATGAAAGCAGGTTAAATTCACGAAAAAAAAGTGAAATGTCATATGCAGAAAATACCCTTATATTGTTGATCAGATGTTTATAATTTAGCCACGAAATTGGATGATTCCGTTCAAATTGTCAAGATTTACTGGTCACGCATGACTGAGGAAAGTTGTCCCGGAAAGGCCATCGAGTTATCCCTAGCAGAGTGTTTACAAGCCAGGTAGGGCTCTTACTAGGGTAACCGGCCTAGCAATCAGGTAGGGTTACCCTAGCGCTAGGGTAACCCAAAATTGGGTAACCCTACCTGCCTGGTAAACACGTTGTGTAAAAAAAGAAGAAATGTGCGAGTGCTAGGGTTACCCTGCCTCCTTGTAAACAGGGCCATTAGACTTGTGGCTGTTTCTGCTGCTCTCGCAGTAAAGGCGGCCGCTACGGACCAGCTTAATTAAGTGATTTATCCAGGAGATCTCGTTAATCACCCTTTCAAAACAATTAGGAGCCAGCTCAAGTAGAATTCAGTCTGAGGGAACAGAATAGGCGCATAAAAATCTACCATAATTTAATTTGTTAACAGGGTCTTTCAGAGTATGTTAAAGAGACTAATAGCTGGTCTTTGTCGCTTAGTGTGTGGATTGTGACCTTCAAGGGCCCACTTAAGTCAGTACAGGGAAGCAGTCCCTAGGCAGTAAATTCAGGCTCAGGCAACCACAACCAGTGTTCACAAGCTGGAAATATGACAGCAACAACGAAAATCAACTCTCACCTTTTTACCTGTAAAATCATGAACATATATCCAGATATTGTGGTCAATAGTTGTAGACAAATAGTACTGGGTTACACAGCTTGCATCACTCTTGATTCCTTGTGTGGCAACGGCTGTCAAAAGAAAATTGCTCTCATAGTCTACTTGCAAATACTGTGGCTGCTCTGCCAAACTGCTATCTGCACACCAACCACCACCACCAATGTTCAGGTGTAGCCGTGCATTACTGGGATGGTAGGCTGGACTCTCCATGGATGTTGCACTGATGGCACTATCTGGAATTGTTTTCACTTCCATACCTAACGGATCGTCCAAACCTGACAAGCATTAAAATGTCAAAACCCAAGAAATTGAAGTGAATAATACAAGTGTAATACCTCTAATTTGCTAAGCCTTTTCCTCAGTTTTTACATTAAGTTTTTACCTTCATTCGAAATGTTTCCACCTTAGTTTAAAAACCACTGCCGGTCACTCTAAGTCATGTTCCTTAAGTCACACTGCGCGTTCTTTGCACTGAATAATTTAGAGATGTAAATAGGAGCGAGACCATAAGCGCTTACCATTTACACGGGAATTTCGGTGGAATTTCGTCAAATGGTACTGTTATTTTTTTAGCACCGAAAACAGGAACGAGATTGAGTTGTACCGTTTAACAAATGCCGCTAAAGTTTTCACTTTCTCTGGACATGAAGCCTGGCACCAGTAATCCAAGCAAATGGTATGTACAGAAAATTTCGGTCGTTTTGGTAAAAACGGGAAAAAGGTAATATCTTGAAAGGTATACCGTTTTTTCCGGAAAATTTCCACCGGGATGAACCGTTCCAGTTGAATTCTCCCCGGAATTTCCGGGTTTTCCATACAAATGGTAAGCGCTCCATGCTTTACTTTATACATCACAGAGGCTACGTCCTGTAAACGTCTATTATATAGTCGGTAGCCGGGCGCGGTCAAGTAGCTCTTGATAAGATGCTGAGCTGTTGTTGTATACTGCTCTTAGCGGCAAAAGATATCTAAAAATAAAATTCTGTGCAAGTTTTCAACGTGATAGCGTTTTCCATTTTTCTCTTCCTAATTTCCCAAGTTTTAACTCCGCGTGACGTTAACATGGTGACCGACAAGGCCGGCACATATGGTAAAAAATAATTTTATCCCATGATATTATTCCCTTTGAATGGTGAAAGTATTAGAAAATGTGTTTGGGGGAATAATTTGCTCGTTCGCAGTGATCAAATTTGTGGCGATACTAAAACCAGATGTTTGTCTTATTTCCGGCCGGAGGAGCACAAATATGGCGTCCCCAAATTTCTGTTACACATGTTGAAGAACAACTCAGCAGCGGAAAACTGCACAGACGTGAGACTCACCCAGGTTGTTAATTATCGATATTCTATAATATCTGAAATTCTTGGCTTCAGGCATATTCCACAGATATATCTTCGTCATCATTTTCTGTGTCTACATTCCTGAATTGGGTTGACGATTAGTAGCTTAAACGTTTCTGGGTTGGCCGATAGGAAGTTCTCGTACCAGGACAGAGCTTGCTCTCCTTGAGGCATGATGCTTTGTGCAACTAGTATAGGTCATGATCCATACATCTGATGATCGGTAGCGTACATGCTTAAATTTGCGTTTTAAATTAGAAAGACATATTTTGAAACAAATTTCACAGGAGCGGCCCAAAAGATGAGCAAAACAAAAACGCCTATATTCACAACCTTTCGGTAAAATTATTGTATATTTACCTTTAGCTCTGCAACCATAAAGTTCAACTCTCAGAGCAATTCGCTTGATCCAGCTATGTGGACAAAACTTTACGTAACGTGTCAGGAATGGTGCAAAAGAACTCTTTGAGATCACTTCACTGTTGTTTAAATTCCCAACGAACATCTAAAAGTGATATAAATGATAACAATATCTTAAACTTCATCTTCAGGTATATATATTGTAAAAATGTTAAATCCGAGACTTCGGTCTTTTTTGGTGGTCTCTTTTGTGGCAACTCCCAATATCACCCACCCCTCCCCCCACCCACCCCCAATAAACAATACTGAACCCAGTCCCTAAATTATGACAGGTTAATGTGTCTCAGGACATTATGTGAAGTCTTGCTTCTCAGTGGCTGTGTATCATTGTCAGTAAAAAAAATAAAAAAAAATTCTTTGTCACTAAAGGGATTATTATTGGTTATCAGTAATTTCAAATCACCATCAAATGACTTCCCCTATTACCCCTGAATACTTGTAAAACACAAGTCCTACCTAACAATTAGTATTTTTATTATATATTATTATTATTATTATTATTATTATCTCTTTTATGACAGTCTTTGCTGGTGTTCTTTTTGTGCATCAGCCGGGCACAAACCATACACCTAGAGCGTCAGTCACTCAAGTCAATCATTCTGTTCATACACTGAGCACCTTTCTGAGGATTCGTGCAGATCCCAGCATGCAGATCTTTTGAATCTCTGTCATAGTAGCTCTCTCTGATACTTTCTTGATGTTTTCTACCATATCCTTCTTCACTGTACCAAGCACACCAACAACCACAGGGATCACTATTATTATTATTATTATTATTATTATTATTATTATTATGTCAATAACAATAATGCAGGAATCTAACTATTTGAATATGATCATTAATGTAAGTACAAAGTTCTTGCAAAATTAACTTTTGGGGAAATCAGAATGTGGAGGTCTGACTGCGTGAACTTTCTTAAACTTTCTTTTAAAATTAAATATGGCAATAACAAATATCTGAATAAAGGTTGTTTGCATGACTGGTTGATTTCATCCATTTTTCTTTCCAATGCACCCTTCTCACTCATTATGTTTTTGTTGGTATTGATTGATTATGGGCTATGTAGTTAAATTTCATTGGCTAATAACATTTTCTACTTGATTTTCATAGGCCGTTGAGCTGTCAGATTACAAGCTTCTGGTAATCAGACAGGTCCAGACAGTTTGGGTGTTTCAAATAGGAAAATTAAGCAATAAATTTGCTTTGTTTAGAACCAAATATAAGATTCTATCAAGCAATATCTTATTGACACAACTACCTATGTTTCAAAACTTGACAAGATTTCATAATACAAAATCCCTTTTTAGTATGACTGAAAGACAGCTGTCAAACAACCTTGAACTTCACTAATATAGAAGCTACAACACAATTTATTGTCCTCACTGTTACCTAACTCTTATTGTCAATATAGTTATAATTAAAAGAGAGCTTTCTTGTTGGTATAGCAGTCATTGCCTCATATTACCCCTAAATGTAAGGTTAGTACATCCAACAGCAAAATTATAAATGAACTGCTTACACAAGGTCTCTGTTTTCTGAAGTTCTCTTTGTTGATGGCCAACAAATAACTAGCCTTAAAACTCCCTTTCCCTTCCATTTCAAATGCCTGCCACGCAGGCTAACAACTAACTTAAAAAATAACTCACATTCTCCATTATGCAGGAACAATATTTTTTTTCAGTCTTTGGAGCCTAAATAACCAATGGCATCCTATCTTACATCTTGAAGTGATTACCTCAAGGTCACAGCAGTGAAAGCTACTTATATTACTAACAAAAAGCAAATTGCAAGCTATCATACCCGTGGGTTTTCTTTTTCAAGTACTGGATACCAAATGGTGTCATCTTTACTATAGTAAAGGAAGTATGAAGTCACCCTGGCTCCCATCGTTGTGGTGTCACCAGAGCCTTGGATGGCAGACTTCCGAACTACAGTTAAGCTTCCAAGATCTACCTTTAAGTACTGAAATTTATCATGAACAGAAGGTATCCACCATTTGATTGCTTTCAAACGAGCCCAGTAAGGTTCGTTGCCAGCCAGGAAGGTTGATGCTGTCATGGCACTAAAAGGTATTGCATTCTTGACATATATACCAACTATTCCTTGAAGGCACTCTATCACAAGGCCACAAAATTTTGATCAGAGCAAATATTAAACCTGTGTGACAATGACTATCAAACAACATCCAAATAAGCAGTAATGATCAGATTTCAATACTATGGGAATTTTACTGGCAAAGACCAGAAAAATACAGACATCATCAAGTTTGATAGAAGAATAAAACATTGAAGTTATCTCAGTTGCGAAAAAGATTTGCAAAAAAAAAGATTAAGCTTATATAAGCATAAGTTCTTACGCTAAAATGGCGTGGCGATAGTCGTTCATGGTACTGTAACTCATCTTAGAAAAGGCTTAATTAATAAAGCCCAACGACGCCATTTGACCTTATACGTTTTTTATGTAGGTGACTTTCTCATATAGCCTTACAACTTGGCTTATTCTTAAGATTCAAACCAAAACTTGAGCAAGAGTATAAGCTTAATGCCTGTCCAAATTAATTAAGAAAAAAGGCAAATTAAGCTTTATACTTTCTTCTATAAACTTTCATGTAAGTTTAAGCTTAATTCATTTTTCCGTCTTTACTTCGAAGGGAATAAAAGACTGTCATATAATCTACGGTACTGTAAAACGTTTCATCCATTTTGTTTTAAAACACTGAAAATAAGTTTAAGCTTGAGTAAACTGTTTAATTTTTTACTATAAAAATTCATCGCTACGTTAAAACTTACTCGAGTAGTCCAGCTTGTCTTCCTTTAAAATCACATTTTTCCCACGTAGAGGATCTCTAAATTTGGCCATAATGTCAAATCCATGCGTACCAAAGGTAATCAACGCCACAGATAATACAGCAATGGCGATTTCAGCCATGTTTCGCCTTTCCCCAGCCATTTCCAGCCATTGTTTTTTAGCAGAGTGAAGGGTTAGAAGAAGGACCTGGGTACTAGCAACCTCGTCCCCAGGGTCTTGCCGTTTTCAAGGTTGCAAAAAGGCAGGGCGAATCACACAAATATGTTTACATGTTCTCAAAATAATGGTTTTATGGGCACCATACAGTATATTTGTGTAAGACCTTTAAGCCCTCCTTAGCTAAATCTCACCGATTAGCAAATCACTTCGGTTGCGGGACTCGTGAAAGAAGCAATGAGGCAATGACAATATTTAGGGGGCGGCCTGATAAGCTCCCCGAAGTTTTTGTAAGATAGATTCTTAGAATTGACTGTGTTCAACTATAAAACGACTTTTGTATAAATTAATACTTTCATAGAATAAATCGTGAGTCTGGTAATTTGAAAAGGAGTGAATTCTTTTTTTAGGGATTTCTCGGACACAATTTTTATCACCTGACTCACTTCGCGCTCGCAACACACTATGCACTTTGTCAGTGGAAAGCCCCGCACCCCAATACCCGGGGAATATCGGGGCATTAGACCGGGCCTACCTTCTCATGAAATGAAGCAAATTCCCCGCTACGCAGGTCAATTCCGTACGTCAACAAAATTAATGTACAATTTTGATGATGATGTTGATGATGATCAAATACCTTAATTTAAGTGTCAAACTGTAATGGTAGTGTAGAACCACTAAGTGGAAACACTAAAATATGTTAACAAGAATAAATTAAAAAATTAATTAATTAATTAACGGTGAAAAACGTCAAATCATTTTGGAAGATGTTCCAAATCAGAGGTCCAAATACAGAGCGCTGTGGGCATCCCCTGGTCACCCTCTTCCACTAATTCACTACAGATCCCAGCTTATCCCTGGCTTATCCTAGCTCAGCCTATAGAAAACAGCATAGCTGTGAGTCCACGTTAATCGGCCTCGTTGAAGACTGGAGGAAAGCCCTCGACAGTAAGGAGAAGGTTTACTTGTTATCAATGGACATGAGTAAACCTTTTGACTCCCTTCACCACTCTTTAACCTTGGCCAAACTCAATACGGGTGGTTTCAGCGACACTGGTTCTCTGGATTTAAGGTGGCCCGAACCTATTTATATGCGTGTTGGTTATGTTTTGATTTCCGTTTTTCAGAATGAAAGATTCAACCGATTTCTATGATTTTTGGCATACCGAATAAATAATAATAGAACTTTAAGAAAATGTTATTTGTTTTCTTGTAGATATGAAAATCATTGAGATATCGGCATATATTTAAAACCGCATTTTTACGAAAGATGTAAATAACTTCGAAATCCCACTACAGATTTTTCCCTAACTTCAGCAAATAAACCTCAGAGCGACCGTAGTACTCGCTGCACAAAATGCTGGTTAAATTTAACCTTAAAATGCTATGCTAACACATTTGTGAAAGTTGACGCACGAATAGAGGTAGAGTGCCGACAGACTATATGTGAAAGGATATTCCTACCTAAAGCTTTATTGCAAAAAACAGAGTAATCAGAAACCTACGGCGAACATAGTTAGCCTACAAGAAGAACAACTTTATGCTGAGTGCGTGGTAATATTAAAGGACTTCTATTCATAAACTTAACGGTTGTATATGTCCCTCTCTTTTGGAAACAAATCTTAACAAAGCAAAATATAGCTTTTACGAAAAACTCTCAAGAGTTTTTAGCGTTGCAGGTTTCCGTTTTGAAGAGAAATAAGGCCACCAACTCCAGTACTTCTAACCATCCATTTTTCAGCTGCAATGAAAACCCTCGTATTTGGTAATTTATTCAAGCTTTTTAGACTTGCCATCACATTCGCATGGGAAGTTCACCACTTGGGATTAAAGATGAAGACAAATATGACAAGCATCTTAATCTTCTCATTATCCCCAACAGCAAACTGCCCGTGCGCATTTTCCGGGTATGGGGTTGCGGGGCTTTCCACTGTCTAGTGCATAGAGGCTACTCGTTTGGACAAAAAGTAGCATTTTTATATTGTACGGGTTTTGTGTTCCAATTTTTTTCTTTCAGTAATTTTTATTCACACTTTTACCGCATCCTTGCTTGACCTTAGGTCGAAGGTTTTTTTTTATAGTAATCAGTCTTTCTAATGGTCGTTTTCCGCTTTGTTTAATAAATCCCCATGTGGAACTCCCTGTTTTACGCGGGGAGCGTAGTTTACAACGCTGCACTCCCTTTTAAGTACTGTTAGTGCACTGCCTTTTAAATATGAGTAAATCACTAAACCACGGCAGGAATCTTTCTTTTTTCACAGCCAAAAGTTGAGTCTTCTTTCTTTTCCTTTTTATTCAACTTTTTTTTTTTTTTTGGGGCTACCAAGGGGCGTACCTTTTCAGGCTTCATTGGGAAGTAAAAATAAAACTTGCAATGAGCCGGTTAATCGGCTTCTTGATGTTAATCGGCTCTTGATGTTACGCGGAGGAGAAAGCACCCCAACCCTCCTTCCTATTTTTTCTTGCGATTTGACTTCGTTCACGCTAAGCTCACGGGAGTGCTAACTCCAACGCAACTCCAACCAGGGAGCGAGGAAAAGGTCGGAAAAGCGAGCCTCGAAGGGAAAATCAAAATAAGAGAAGCTGTTGTCTTGGCTACAAAAAGTGTCCCATATCACCGTGGTAAAGTTTAAGTCCCCTGGGAGGAATGCTGCGTGGAGATTGGTTTATTTTGGAGGTGTGCGTGGTGACGTGTCGCGAGCGCCTTCGATCAAAGTTTTCCGGTCTGCGAACATTGATCGACAAAATGGCTGCTGTGAACTCCTCAAGAGATATTCTGTGTTTATTTGATGTAGATGGCACGGTTACTCCAGCCAGATTGGTACGTTTTAGCGATCGTTCATTATTGTTTTTAAAAAAGGGTGTAAATTGTGACGTTATATTTTAAACGGCTTCCCGTCGACGTACACAAAGTCTGACAGAAAGCGCGATCCCAGCATCTTTCTCGGTTTCATATTTTGTTCAGGTAGTCACCCCAGAAATGAAGGAATTTATGAAGAAACTTCGCGAGAAGGTCGTAGTCGCCTTGGTTGGAGGATCCGACTTTCCAAAACTCGAAGAACAAATGGGAGGGGACAATGGTAAGATTTCCCTTAAAATTTATTTTATTGCCCTTGAAATCCTTGCAGTACATGTACCATATTGGCGTGGTATTTTAAAAATGAAACGCATTGTTTTCTATTTTCCAGTCACTACTTTGTATGATTATGTTTTCCCTGAAAATGGGCTGGTAGCCTACAAGAATGGAGAACTGTTTCATAGGCAGGTTAGTGGAATAATAATATTTATTCTAGTTTCACCTTATAAATGAAGTGAACATAATTCTTCTTCTGTCAGGTTATTTTATGATCAGCTTATGATTACCTGAGGCCTTCAGTAACCTCCTGAGCTGGTTCTTTAACCAGGCTTGTGAGCTTGGTAGGTTTTCTTCTACGAAGGTGTTATTATACTTAAATTTGAAGCTTGTGGGTTTTTTTGAATGAAAATTATCCAGGGATCAATTATTATTATTATTATGACCTTTTGAGCAAAAGGAGAGCCCATTTTCAAGTTACCCTAAAGGTGGATTTCATTTGTCACATAATTTTCACATCCGTACACAGATAAACTTAACACGCGTAAATAAGATCATAGAGACATTGCATGGAAAAATATGTGTAAATGGAAGAGTTGAACGTCGCTCAACTTTTATGTGTTTATGTAGGACCTTTCATACATTGCCTCTTATTCTATTTACACACATACCCGAAAGCACACAAAAAAAGTATGTGACAGTTGAAATCCACCTTAACAACCCAGTCAATTTTTTTGAATAGGTTCAGAGTTCAAGGTTCAAGTTTATTTCATGCTATTCAAGTTGATACAGTATAAGATGGCTGACAGAATCAGTAGGTTAACAAATGATGAAAAATAAATATAATATACATGTTTGTTGATATGTGCACAGTGACCAAAGTAGCCGAAGCTTTCGTGTTGGTCATGATAACCAGTTAGAGTAGTGTGGCAAAGCAAAGGCCTTAATTTGTGTGTTGTTTATTCATTCAACCTACATGTAAGTGCTGATTAGGCAGCAAATATACATGTATTTCACTGAAAGCGGAAAAACTACTGGCTTTCAGCTTGTTTTGAACAGGCTGCCCTAAATTTCTATTTAAAGAAAGTCCTGATGCACAACCATTCTCACAGGTTATAATAACAAACACCAGAATTTGCTTTGAAAAGGAGGCTTGAAGTCATTCAGAAATGGACTATTAGACGTCATTGATTGATGTTATTCTTTTTGTATTTTTTCATGTAGTAATGATGTGTTTAAGAAGTGTTATTTTTATTTTTTTTTATGTTAGGATATCAAGACATTTATGGGTGAAGAAAAGCTCAAAACATTCATCAATTTCTGCTTAAAGTACATTGCAGAATTAGATATTCCTGTAAAAAGGTAAGAGTCAACAAATGCATAAAATTTTAAAAGCAAGTGTATTCAAGTTAGTATTCATAGCAGTCTCAGCTATCATAACTATGACTCTTGAGACTTTCAATGCCAAAATGTACTTCCCAATACAATAGTGTGTTCTGGGCAGAATTTGAAATGAGCAGAGCAATCAACTGATAGCGCTAGAATAACTTTGGGTATACACTGTATTCACTCAAGAGATGAGAAGCCTTAAGAACCATGTTTTGGATGCCCAACAGATTATACAAAATGGTGGTTATAAAGCGGTGGGTTTCCACTGTCATAAAAACTACCTACATAAATAAAATAGAGGCAATGTATAGAAGGTCAGGCATTTACTCAACTTTTAAACTAAAATAAATGTTTACCCAGAGCTGTTATTAACAAGCAGGGGCTGAGGATTTTCCTCCAGCTTGGACATAGCCCCTGGCCACTTTGATAGGAAAATAGAAGAAAAATAGAACCAAAAGAAACCCCCAGCTGTTTGATTCCTTTCGCCTACTTGTCGTATTTACCCTGCAACTTGAAATCTTAGTGACAACCCTTTTTACCCGTAAGAGTGCTCAAGTACCCATGATACATGTAAGCATTTCATTTAATTTGACATATTCACTGTACATGTACCTATTCCTGAAGAGGCAATAATGGTCTATTTTATTATAGTCAACAAAATGCTTTTGACATAATTTTATACATCCCAGGAATTAAGTTTGTACACACTTACTTGTACCAGGTAACTATTAAGCAGTCATGGAGAAGATCTGTGGGGGTGGGACTGGGTAGGGGAGTGATTACATTGTACATGTACACATTTCTTTTCTCATCTACAATAATAGATGGTTTTCACAGTGACATCATCAAATTGTAAAGTCAAAATAGTGAGGTTTTACGAATTCTTTTTTACACTAGGTTGAAGATAAATAAAAGGAAAACTTTATACAAGTTTCCATTCCAGTAGCATGTTTCATTTTGAAAATACAGCAATTTGAACTTCCGAGTTTTCGCAGTGTGTGACACCTAAATAGGAATGCTGTCTCATTGAAAAGTCTCTCTTCTTGATTTTCAGCCGTATAACCATTTCAAGTCTTAGAAGATATGTTTATGCACACATATGCTAGTTCTCCAGGGAAAAGAAAGAGCTTCTATAGAGAAAGTGAACTCCAGATGGTTTTTTTTATTTCTCGGGGCCATATTGGTGCACCAAAACGGTACATCATTATGGCATAACTCAGAAACTTTGGGCCACGAAGACCTGAGACTTGGACAAATTGTTTATATATGTGTTTTATAACATTTCATTTTCTTGGCTTCTTCCACTGGACAGTTTCCAATTTACTTTTTTGTTGCATGATGGTGAGAAACGATTTATACAATAACATTATTGTTAACTGTCCAAATACCACATTTTATGGCTTTTATTTTCTTGCAGAGGAACATTCATAGAGTTTCGAAATGGAATGATAAATGTTTCACCAATAGGAAGAAATTGTTCACAGGAAGAAAGAATAGCATTCTTTGAGTATGACAAAGTAAGTGGATCTTAACATTTTTCACATCTAAGCATCTCTCCCTAACCGACAGACCAAACTGTTTTGTGATAGAAAGGACAATAGCTGCTCCCATGTTTTTAGCTATATTTGGGACCAAAATGTACGTATAGAAAACTTCTCAGTTGGTCTTTAATTGTTATTTTTCACAGGTTCACAAAGTTAGGGATAAATTTGTGTCTGTTTTGAGAGAAGAGTTTGCAGATTATGGACTACAGCTCAGTATAGGAGGTCAGATAAGTTTTGATGTCTTCCCAAAAGGCTGGGACAAGACTTATTGCCTGAAGCATGTGGAAAATGATGGTTACAAGGAAATTCATTTCTTTGGGGATAAGTGCTATCAGGTGCAGTACTCTCTTGCTGTGTATAACAAACAATTAACAATTATTGGACGAGGTTGAGCAAAATATTGTGATTTGTCTATGGTGAGCAGTTCGGCTTCGGCAAATAATTGATCTGCAAGACACTATCAAATCATGATATTTTGCGATAACCAAGTTCAATAATAATATTGTGTTATCATTCGATCACCGAGTTAGTTTTTTTAATGAATATCCTTGGGAAGCAAAGCGATATGCCATTTTCACGCAAGAGCGATTGCAAGAAGGAGAAGAGCACGGTTTCCTTTACGCATGAGCAGACCATTATTTGTAGGCAGTTATTTGCAGGTCACTTGGTGGGCTTTCGGCCAATGAAAAGAAAGAAAATTTTCTTCAAATGATACCGGTAATAATTATTATTTGCATTTATCACATGGTCAGTTCTTTGAAACCTTAGAATGACATTAACAGTCTGCCAGGCAAGGTAAAATTAACTTTAAGCCATGAGATCAATATTAGTGGCCAGAGCAGGACTTGAAGCTGGACCCCCAAGGTTGCAATCCAATGCACGGGTCTTGGCCAGTCTGCCCTCTTGACTGTTGGGAAGCAGCATGGTGGAGTGATTTGGATGTGCAATCCGACATTCCCAGATTCGAGTCCTGCTTTGGCACTGGATATGTTTTTGGTTGCCTCGCATTGCTTCCTGCCAGTTGAGCTGGTTAATTCTGTTACGTTCTATTTGAATATGTTTGTTTCTAATAAAGTGGATTTCCTGTAAACTGCTGGATAAGCCTCTGTAAGTGCACTTTTCACTGTTGCAGTCAAACAGGGAAAACCATGAAAACCAGAAATATTTCTGGAATGTTATTGTGTTGCAAGAAAAAAGCCAATCAGACATGAAAAAACTAAACTGCAAGCAAGAACGTTGATTAGTTTGCGGTTTTGTGGCTAGTTTGCATGTTCTCATCTTTGCTGTGGTTGGTCATAACACAATAAACATTCCTGAAATATTTAACAGACGACTCATTGCTGGTATCAATCCAAGATAATAAGAATCAATCCTAAAATTCCAGCATTATTGTTGCTGTATACAAAACCTGTGCTATTATCTCTTACATTATAATAATAATAGCTACAGTCTTGTTTAAATATTAATAATAATAGTAAGAAAAAATATTTAAGTAATACTGTATATTTTTGACTTTGTATGTGTATTTTTTAACCATTTTCATATTCACTTTCAGGGTGGTAATGACTATGAAATTTTCATGGATGAGCGAACAAAGGGACACAAAGTTACTTGTCCAGAAGACACCATGAACCAACTGAAAGAACTGTTCTCTATCAGCTAGAGACTGCGGAGTTGAACATAGTATTGCATAAATATATTACTTAATCAGGGGAATATTTTTTGGTGGACTAAATCAGCCATGCTTGATTTTAATTTTGAAATTTTGTAGTTTGATTGTTGATCAGGGAGCAAGAGGGAGAACAATTGTTGATGATAAGGGTTAATTAAGTTTTTATTTGTACATGTAGATGTTAATTGGGACTGTAAAATTAATAAAAGGGAATGTTGATATAACAAACACCCCCGCCCCCTCCTCCTTAGCCGTGATAGGGAATATTGCAGCATAATGTCATATTTTTCGCCATACTGATAGGTACATTGAATTGAATGGGATAAGCCCCTAAGGGCCAGCTATTAAAACAGAGTTTAAGCAGTGTGAACAAGACAGAGTTCTGAGTCCTTTCAAAATGTAAACTTGGCCAAACCTCACATCTATACATTGTTTGCTGTAAACATTTCCAACAATGCTTGCAGCCAAGACTAGAATACAAATGTACTGTTTATCTTCTTAAAACATACACCTTACAAACAGATTTTGAGGCTTGCTGAGTGTCTTAAACTGTGGTCTAAGGTGGAGTTTGTTTCATTGACTAGCCCTTAGGTAACATATCTTGCTAATCCCCTTTTTACTTCACTATTATATTAGCGTTGCGGTGTAGAAGCATATAAAGGCATTGTCAATGTCAAAAGTATCCCAAAGAAAGGGAGCGTCAAGTGCTTATTTATATAAATTTATAATATCGTTTTACATATATATGGTGCATAAATGAGGATCAGGTTTTTTTTATTTTTAACCTTCTTTGTGGCCACCACACGACAAAATTCTTTTTATTTAAGCCTGGTTTATCTCTTACTTATCTACCTATTTTTGTAAAATGATTAAATGATTAAATGACTCGTGCCAGGGTACCCTTTACGTCAGTATCATTGTTTTAGCATACATGTTCTCCATACTGTCAACATACATTTCCCGTGGTACTCATAAGGAGAATTTGTTTAACAATCAAGATTTTTTTTCATCATTTCGTCATTGTCATCACCTTCATCTTCGTCTTTTTGCTCACCACCTTTTTTTGATTGAGTAGTGTAACAATAGGGAGAATTAAGCCATTGGTCACTCATAATCATCATCATCATCATCATCATCATTTTGGATTAGAAATATCTTATTATTTGGGCGTGCCCCAAATAGAGTAATGGAAACGGCTTGTTTTGACGTAAATGTGCAATAGGCACGCAATACGTGCCAACGGAAACAAGACAAGTAAACAAGCCAAGCGAGGCGAATGTCCGCCATGCGAACGTCTTGTGCAAGGATCTACAAGTTAAAGTAACAGGCTTGTGGGAAAGAAAGCTCTGCTAGCACACGGCACTTTATCGCACTTTCACGATCTCAAAAGTTAACCCGTTGAAGTAAACTTTCGTTTCCTAAGAGGTCCGCTAAGATGATTGGCGTCTGACATTTTTTTGACGAGAGGATCGAAATGCACCAATCTTGAAAAGACAATTTTGCTTGCGTGTTCCCAAAGAGGTCATCTGAATTTGCTGTTTTCTGTATTTTAGGGGCCGACCATTTAACTCTTGGAGGGGGGGGTGATTTTGAAAAAAAATTTTCTGCAAGCGGTTGTCGGAAGAAAAAAATTGCATGCCGCACAAATGTAATAGGAAGCTTACGGGAAAAAAAGGGAAAAAAATATCGTACCCACCAGATTGCTAGAAAAAAAAATTCTTGATGACCAGAAATCAGCTAAGAGTATTTAGTGGTGTTCAGCATATTCCTTATATAAAATCCTCACAGTGGAGTGATGAGTTTCCTATGTTTCTAAAGAGGATCCTGAAAGTTGGAACCCACCTTTGGTTTTTGATACGTTACAATATTTCGAAACGATTTTGCCTTCAGTAGAAAGCCTTTGATCTTCTCTAGAAGATGAGGTATATTTTATGGGTGGCGGTGCTGCTGGAGGTCTGTGACGTCTCCAAACATGGTCGCCATCTTGGATTTTATTAACAATTAGAAATAAGGTAAAAGGCACTGAGAACTAATAATTGTTTCAGCTTTAAAGAGCGACTGTCTGTAAATATCGACCAAAAATTGGCTTTTTGTGGCACAAGTTCAAAATTCGAATTTCGCTCACTTTTGGCTCATCGATAACTCTTAAGAGTAATGAAACACACTGTAATTAGTTTTCCCAAATAACGTGTTCTTTTGTTAAAATTCGAGAAAACTTATTTTGCCCGTTCGGGGCTCTAAATCCACTTCTGGTAAAGCGAAATTTTACACAAATTTCATTGACTCGTACGTCAAATTACAACGTTTTGGCAGCCATTGAAGAACACGAATAGTTTTATTACCCTTTCTTTCTTATAAGATGATAAATTTGTGAAAGCTGTTCGCCGATTGGGCACAATAATACAAAGCATTTTTTGTGCCCAATCAGGAGTAAGCAATCGCTTGACCGTTTGGAAATGGTCCGGTGAGAATCGGTATCGAGGGGCTTTTTCGCCTGTGTTTTGAAAACTTTTGTCGCGCCTTTTCTCTCGGCCCGACTGTCCGCCCCTGGGTCTCCGAGGATGGTAGTTCCCAAAAGAAGAAGCCGAACGGGGAAGTTCTATCTGAAAGAATTTTAAGTTCTAATATTGACACAATCAGAAATCTTAAAAGTAAACGCAAAAATATTTCAATTTTGATATGTTAAAATTCGTACTTGGCTCCTAGGCTTGAGGGAATAAAACAAATTAAAGAAATATCTTGAGGCCCAACACTGAATTCTACATTACCGTAAAATTCCGAAAATAAGCTCCTCCATGTATAAGCCCCTCCAAATATAAGCCCCCCAAACCGGTAACGCAAAAAACCCTCCGTTAAATCGCCCCTCCAAATATAAGCACCCGGGGGCTTGTACTTGGAAAATTGCCCTCAAATACAAAGTAAAACAATGAGCAAAAACGGTAAATTTACTTCGAACTATAAGGCTAGCCCAATCGAGTTTGAAACGCAGATTTCCCTCCCCCTCCGAATATAAGCCCCTCCAAAAATAAGCCCTTCAAAACGGGCCTTTGAAAAATATAAGCCCCGGGGCTTATTTTCGGAATTTTACGGTATTTTGTTACGTTTTATTCCCCCAAGCCTCGTATCAATTTTATCGTTGGTTTATTAAAATTACAATCTCCTTTCCTTTAGACATCATTTATTACCATACCCAAATACCAACGAAAGTGAGTTAAATGAATGTGTCAAAAGTGGACATTTTGACGTTATAAATTTTTAGGAATGATAGATCTCGATGCTTCACTTTCTCGAGCCGGACAGGTTCCAAACATATAGATCGTATAACAGGGGCGGATCCAGGATTTTTTTTAGGAGGGGGTGCACTCGTCTCTTGCTCTACTTCAACACTAATAAAGCACATAGTTTTTTTTTGCAGAATACCGGTAGTATTAGAAAACCGCAGGTCATCTCAGGGTGGCGGGGGGGGGCACCCCGGCACCCTCCCCCTAGATCCACCCCTGTATAACGTGCTTTTCAAGCTTCCTTATATCAAGGAAAAACTGAACCTGTTGACAAACTGCTTAAATTTCTCCAGAAGTTTGCTTTAGATTTTCCATGTATTTGTCTGTAATTTTTCCCGGGACTTCAACTTACAGAAAAATGTATAGAAAATTTCGTGGTTCTAGGTCTTCTAGCAAATGTAACGCCCTGAATTTTTTTCAGTAGAATCCTTAGGAGTGAAGCTTTACTTTACAATTCTTTTCTTTTTTTTTTCAGAACAGCCGTTCTACGGAAATTATTCGACATTATATTCTCATACAAATGTCCACTGTAATTTCTCACGCGTTTGCCTACCCGTCAAGATGGCGTCGAAAACCGTGACAGGGTCTATTCTGCGATACTACTAGGGTGCGTTCGATTGGGAAATCTGAATTTAGATTTTAAAATCCGGATTTCGGATTTACAATCGAAATCGCGAAATCCGAAAACGGATTTCAAGGCTGAGATCATACTGAGACATCTCTTTTTGGATTTTCATTTTTACCGTTCGATTGGGAAATCCGAAAAAGGATTTAAAAAATACAGCACGAAAAGTGAAATTTACTAAACTTTACCTGATTCCTTAAAGTTCCGTTAAGTTCGGAGGCAAAGCTTTACGCAAGTTTACACTATCGTTAAGGCGCGTAAAGTTGAACTAGTAAAGCTGCCGTAAAGGATGCGTAAAGAAAGCACTTAACGGCATGCAAGAAAAGTAGCGTAAAGCTAATTAAAAGTTAAACTGTCTTGCACGCGCACGCATAATTAACAAAAAGAACACCGCTGTTCACGAGAACAGTTTTGCAAATCCTTTTTCGGATTTCGCAGTCGAACGGTAAAAAGGAAATCCATGAATTCGGATTTGGATTTCTTAATTGAAATCCATCCTAAGGACGGATTTCTCGGAGGTAAAATTAGTTTTCGGATTTCGCGTTCGATTGCAAAATCCGAAATCCGGATTTCCCAATCGAACGCAACCCTAGTATTCATTTTTATAACACTCATTCTTCCCCTTCAAATAACCTCTATATTAAGAAATCTAGGCTAGATATCCAAAAGAGAGCTTTTTCAAGAGTAGGAGCTTAAATTTGAAATGATATACCAGCTCCCAAAAAAACGCTTCAAAACGAAACTCCAGTCTTTCCTTGTTGATATATGTGAAACATGATGACTATATTGATAATAGAACTTAAGTCATTCAAACTTACTCAGTAACACCATGTATAGAAATGGTAATACTGAAATAACTTGTTGTTTTTGTTGTGTTTAATTAATACACCAATGACAAGCTAGGAAACAAATGATGATAATCTTCTCTCACCTCCTGTTGGCATTTTCCCTAAATGTGACAATTGTACGATTCATCAACGGGTAAAGGCGTTTTTGTTCAAACCCCAATAAAATGCGTCTTGTTTTATCCTCGCTATGTCATACAGGAAAAAAGAAAGGGAAATTTCTACAAGAATACATTTGTACTTAGGCCATCCGTAAGGGTGCATGACAGTTCAGATGAACGAAGCAAGCATCATAAAACTAGGAACGGCCGCCACCGCAATTTGGACAGCAAAAACACTGTTCCCTTGGTAATACCATGAAAACTAAGGATGGCAAGGAGCTTGCTTGATTACATTGTACAAAACATTGCATGAAATTCCGACAAGCCGAAAACAACAGGTTGTAAGGTGGGGTTTTACATATTTCTCGGAACAGTCATAAAGTAACACTTCTTTTTGTTCTTGTTTTTTTTCACCTCTGTAAAAATTATTTCTCGACTGCGCTGAATAAATTTAGTCAGCGTTTATACCAGAGGGTATAAAACCAAGGAACACACCCAGTATTAGAATTGAAAGTAGCGACTGCAAGGCTAAATGCTGTGGTGTTCCCTCTTTTGGATTAATTTTTGCTACATTAGTCAAGACGATAGCAGGTTTGTTCTCTTAATATGTTATTTCTTTCAGAGGTTTATACTTCAGAGCCTGTCTCTATTACTGAAAAAGTGTTATATAGTAAAGGCGACGCGTGTTGACTGAAGTTCGTGGCCAAACTCGTACATCCCACGATTGTCGTTTAGAAGTAAACTTGAGTTGCTGCTCCTTTTATTTTATCTTTTTAGGATACAATTTCGCTGACTCAATAGTATTCATTACACAAACTCACTTTTTTTTGCCTTCTACCAACAGTTCCCTGCAGCTTCTTCTCGGCTGAAAGAGAATGCCTCGAAGACTT